GCTTTAGCAAATGGGACAGTCTCCAATGTGCAAGCATCACGAACTAATCTCCCCATCTTAGATCACCAAAACAGCTGGGTCTGCAAAAAAATAAGGTGCTTTAGACACCAACGTCTTCGGTGTTATGCCAGGAGACGTTGGGAAAAATCTCTACAACTAGCTTCAACCCTTCAGACGTTCTAGTTTTCCGCTTGATTAATCAGGTGCTACAATAACAGGCCAGAGAAGATCACCCTGAAGTAAAGAGGCAGTCACATTTGCTGAAAACTTTAGAAATGAGAAACAGTTCACTTAAGAAGCTCACCGGTATTTTTTAGGGCCATTGGAGGTTAAATTGCCTTGCCAAGAAATATATTACAACTTAACAAAGTTAACAAAAAACAGCCTTCAGGGCTCACAAAAGTCTTAACCATGCTAAAAGTCGCAAGAGGGCTAATGGGAAGGAAAACCTCAAATGCATCTAATATATACAATTTTAGGCGTCAAGAAACTGATGCAGAACATTTATCGAGAGTGAAGCAGCAGCATCAACATCAACAAATGAAGAATTTGTTAAGTAAAAGATCAGCTTATTATTATAACCTTTACAGTAAGCTCGTAAATCTTCCAGATTTTTAATTAGGTAGAATATGTATGTGTATTTTTTTGGGATAAAAAAATGTAGATATTAAGCTCTTCGACTTTGTTACTCTGATAATAAAGTTGCGAGATAAAAAAAAAATTTTTAATTATTTATTTTTTGTGAGTTTTAAATCTTTATAACTTTGAAAAACAGCCTTTTTCGTAGATTATACGGAAAAAACTGCAAATTAACGGGTAGAGGGTAAATGACTATTCTTTGGTATAAGAAACGCACGGTACTTTTCAGCATCATTATTTTTTTCAATTTTGACAGCTTATTATTTAAAAAAATAAACTGCTTGGATTCCGAAAAAAATGTTTTCAATAGAAAGTTTTTTGTTCCAACAAGAGTCACGAATAGATATTAAATTTTTAATTAAAAACGTTTTACATTACGTGTCAACACACTGCGGTGTTCCATTCAGTGAGTCTCGTGCGAAGCCGAGACCGGAGGCCGCTAATTTGAACTATAAGCAGGAGAGGACATAATGGAGAAGAAAAGAAAGGGCTAGACTAATGAAAAGCGGGGATAACAAAGAAGAGAGCAATTAAATATTTCTCTGTAGCTACTCCCAATGTAATTTACAGATAAAAAATAAAGACTTCAAGAAAATACTTAGAGTCAAACTTGACTGATGTCATGAGTCGCAAAAATACTTCAGAAGCAACTAAGAGGGCACAAAAACATCAGTGGATAGAAGCTGTGCAAGAATAACTAAAATCACGCGACAAAAATAAAATAAACACTACAATACCAAAAAAAGAGATAAGGTTATTGGACACCAAATGGGTCTTAAAAGTTCAGGAAGATGAAAACAGAGAAATAAAGAGGTTGAACGTAAAGTTATGTGGTAAAAGACACAAACAGAAAAAGGGAATAGACTTCAAAGAGACATTTACTCCAGTGTTAAAATATAAGCCACTGAGAATTTTTCTGGCTATTGTCACACATCAGGGCCTGAAAGTCCGTCTAGTTAGATATCAAATCAACATATGTACATAGTAACCTGGAGGATGATTTATTATGAAGGTTTAAGAAAAGTAACTATGACTGGTCTATTTATGTATGTAAAAATAGTGAAAATAGTTAAAATATTAATAGTAAGAATAGTAAAAACAGACATTGCATTAAGCGTCAATTTATTTAGCACACATTTTTTAAATTATAAGAAGATTTAGGTCAAAGTTGTAAACCGTACCTTTAGGTATTTAAAAGAATCAAATGACGATGTTGTTACGTACAAATTTGATCATAAATATTTTAATGTGTATGAACTCTGACTTTTCCAGTGATAGAGATCAGCGTCAATATACAAATGGCTATGTTTTTAACATACGTAAATGTCTTGTGATATGGTTCGTAGGCGGCGATTGGTTGTAGCTACGAGAAATTAGAAAAGTAAAAATATTTCTTAATAATTCAAGTATCAATCACAGTGAAGCTTCACGAACGTGTATAGACAATTTAGGTGCGGTACATTTGGACAAGAATTAATACAAAACTGTATCACCAAGGACAGAGCTATCAAATACCCTTTTCTATGGGAGCTAGAAGAATCAGAAGAGTTAACACACGTTGATACGCGAGATTAGTGAGCAGATGTACTAAAAAAGAAGTTGGATAAGCATTTATCAAACGATTTAAAAAAATTAATTGATAGGATTAAAAAATATGCAGAAATAAAAGGAGCCTTAAAAATATTTATGCACTAGTGTAGACATATAAACGTTGTCTAGAGTAGTGTCAGTGCAAGGTGTGACGTGTATGTGTGTACATATGTGTGACTGTATCATGAGTATACACTACATAGTGCTCATCCACAGGCCGCGTACTGTTAGTCACTCTACGGTTCCAGAATCCCCATTTGTGGTGGCTACCGCCGCGCGCCGACTCAATGCTTGTTCCATTCTTGATGAATTCCCAATTCCCAACAAACTCCCTTGCACGATTACTTAGGCATTCTGTAAGAGAAACAAATTTTTCCAAGCTCGACCTACACAAGACGTATCACTAGAAACCTGTTATGCCTACAGATATTATCATAACGTCTGTGAGAACAGCTTCTAGTCTTGCCGAATATTTATTGATGCTGTTGGGACTTCGCAAAGTGTCACAATATTTCCAGAGTGACGTAAATCAGGTACTTGCCGATCTGTACTTTACCTTTGCCTATCTACATGACATCTTGGTTTTTCCTCCCTTCCAAGAGGAATACATTAACTACTTTTAAATCATTCTTCAACTCCAAAAAATTTTTGGTCTGCGTTTTAGAATGCCTAAATATGAGTTTAGTAAAACAAAACTTGTTTTCCATGGTCATCACGTCAACCAAGAAGATTCAAAACCTTACTTTGAAAATTTGCAAGCCATTTGAAACTACTCTGAGCCTGTCATAGTAGTCCTTCTGTGGAGCTTTCTTGGATTAGGCAATTTTTATCGGCGCATCTTACGTCGCTTCGTCCAGCCTTTGTACATGTCCCTCTCTATGCTTTCACTGATTTTCGTGTTCCAGTCTTCATCAATGACATCAACTCTGCTTTATTTCTCAGTACTCAACAGACATTGAACACTTACCTAGATCATAAAATATTGCGGCAGGTACATTACTTTAAATAGACATAACTAGTCTTCCTGCTGGTGTTGAGCATTTTCCTGGCCCTGCAAGCACCTTAGAAACCTCTACTCAAGTCGATATGATTTGTCTGCCAACACTCATCGAAATGCCTAAACTTATTCAGTACTAGCAATGTGACATTAAACTCATATCACTTCTTAAGTCAACAAAGCTTAAGAACATTGAGTTTGGTAATCTTCGCCTATTTTGTGACAGGCAATATTATACGCCTTTACGTCCTTAAGGGCACTCCAGTTAATTTAAAGTGATCGGGCGCATTGCTGATCTTAACTACAAGATCGATATCAATGGCGTTGTCAAAGTTGTGCCCACTGAGCAACTAAAACCAGCTCATTTCGTGCCAGAGAATCTTTTAACTGCAGCTCTTGATCTGTTTTCCGTGCATTTAGTATGTAAAATCCATACAGATTCTCAACAGTTGTCAGGGTAGAAACTAAGACATCAAAAAAGTTGTTATCATTACATCCAAATATCGGTTTAAATACTTTCATTTTTCCTCGAGCACACTTGATAGCGTAATTAGTCAACTCGTTATGCCTCTAATGTATAATGTATTACTACTTTGATGTAAGCACTCACGAGAATTAAAAACATATTCGTGTTTTTTTCTAGTTTAATACCAAAATTTTTACTCAGCGTTACTTGTTTGTAACCTATGTAGCTGATTTGTAATTTTATGACTAACATTTATTACTTATTATTGATGATCGTTCAAATATTAAAGCTGAAAATATTTTTTTTTTTAAATATTACAAAACGACTTTAAAGACTAGCATTTCATCTGAAAACTGTTTAATTTTGTACTTACTCGTAATACAAAAACTCAGTACTTACGTTACTGTTACATCGTTTGTGTTTTCATAACTTTCTATGGTTATCTACCACAAAAATTATAAGCGTTGCGTACAACGTCAGTTATATTATTTTACTCGCATTTAATTACTCTTAGTATGCGAATTACTCTCTTTGTAAAAATGTACAAGTGTTTTCTCTTTAGACATGTTTATATAAATAAATACTTGATATCATTACAACCCGAGTTATTATTTTCAAATTTATCATTGGTTATCATTCGAATCTTAAAATAATTGAAATTGAACCCTGGTTAAAAAAGTTACGTCCGTAAACAACAACAATATATTTGTTGAGTGATAATACATTTATTGTACAAGCTGAGACACATAAGTGAAGTGGAGTCTGCCACGGTTTGCCTGATCCATACTCTTCAAACAAGGAAAGACTACTAGATCTCCTTTATCTTATGTTCAATAGAACATTTTTTAAGAAAAATATTGTACCTGATGAGGGCCTTGTTATTAATATAACTGTACGGGTCAAAACGTTGAAAGTTATTAGTATTAATAAATACTTAAGTATTATTATTATATTTAGCATTACTACCTGAGTTATTATTTTCAAATTTATTATCGGCTATTACGCGAATCTTAAGATAATTGAAGGTTGTTTTTTGTACTCACACTTACAGATATTCGTGTTTTCCAGAATTTTTCAACAAAGTTACTTATTATTACGGGCAGCATTGGAATACTCCGAATTGTACTTAATTTTATAAGTAATTTTAATAAATATTTATAAATTCATCTATATTAGTGCCATACTGTCTGAGATTATTTAAATATTGTTATTTAGATTTTGTCATATAATTAAAATAGATAAAAATATTTTTGAATAGTATCACATGGAACTTTAAAGTTTAATTGGTTTCTTATTATTTATTTGCAGTCTTATGAAAAGCAAACTTTTCATTCGGCCACGCCACCACCATTTGGGCTCAGTAGTAATCAAAATGCAAATGTAATAAGTGGATATGGAGCACATTTGTTTATCCCAACTGTGCCGCATCAGCTACATCAACCTCTACATCAAGATAGTTCGAATAGTTCTGGACAAAGAACAAATAGTAGTTCTCAAAATAAAGCACAAGTTAAACCAGGATATAGTACGAGTTATTGGGCTGGTAGTAATTAAATGTGTACATTTTATTATAAAAGTGCATTATTATTTTTAATGATTTAAACATAAAAAATATTACTTTGTATATTTAACATTTAATCACTGCATTATTAGTATTGTACACAAAAAAATATTGTGAAATAATAAATAATAGGCTAATTTGTCATCTAGAAACAACTACATTGTATTACGATTACATACAGATAGGTGTATGATTCACGTGTGTATATATACATATATATAAACTTATACATTCTTAAATTTACTTTAAAAAATACTGATATTGTATTTCAATAAAAAGTATTTCATTAAAAGTTTTGTTGATTAAATTAATTTATTAATGTTTTTTGATATCAGAATATATTTTAGGCCATCAAATTGAGCAGAATTATCAAAATTATTTTACTGAAGATTTGGTTCATGATAAAGAAAATCATGCTCCTCTGCCCATTAACAAAATTTTTTAACTAGAAGGATAGAAAAATTATTCAATTTCTTGATCCCGAATGAAGTTGATTTGTGGAAGAATGATAGCACTTATGAAATTGTATACTATAAACATATGTTTGATTTGATGTATTCTCATCTGAAAAATGAACGAAAAAATATTTAAAAAATCATATGTGAAAACATTAATAAAATTTATGTTATAAATGGTCCTTGAAAATCAGGAGAAACCTTTTTGTCTAATACATTAGTTAATTACTTTGTATCATTAGAAAAAAATTATTTTGTAAATGATCTGGACTAATATAACATCAGTACTACTCCTGAAAGGAATCATCAGTCGTACAAATTTTTGCGTCAGTACTACTTCTGAGAGGAATCATCAGTCGTACAGACATTGCGTAATGTGTATGCAACATGCACCTAAATTTTGAAAAATAACTTTAGGAGGAGATTTTGAATATACAAACAAACGTAAACATAAAATATTTCATAATTTTTTGATGGTGTCTGAGTGTTGGTGGGGATTCTAAATATATTACGGGGTGTGTTTAATAGTAGTAAAGAACAATGTTAGAATGGTCATAAAAAATCAACTGAACATTTAATTGAATTAAAATAACGGATAATTTTTCCTTTATGGAATTTATCCTTGTTTTTAGGAGGGCAGTGGGAAAGTTGCGCGTGGCTCCAAAAATTATACAAGGAGGGTTCGGTGGGCCCCATGATTGATTGTATTGGTTTACATTAACAGAGAAAACGATCGAATTTTTCCTTACTTTATGGTAGCGGCAGCAGAGGTGTAGGGTGGTTGGTTGGGTGGCAACAGGGATACAAGGGAATTGTATGGAAAACTAACTTTGACAACTATGTTATGTAGAAATACATGTTTGTAAACTGCATCCTAATGATGATATAATTTAGTTTTACAATCTAGCTTCTTACAAATTTTTTCTTACATTAATGAATCCTGTTACTCTTAATGTATGTATGTTTGCAAAATTTTTCTTGATAACAAAATCGATCAAACATAAGTAGTTTTAATAATTAAAAATTATTATTGATGGATCTTTTTTTTTCTTGGCTTACTCAAATATTAAATCTAGTTTGCTTTGTAAGTAAATTTTTTAAATATTACAAAACGACTTTAAAGACTAGCATTTCATCTGAAAACTGTTTAATTTTGTACTTACTCGTAATACAAAAACTCAGTACTTACGTTACTGTTACATCGTTTGTGTTTTCATAACTTTCTATGGTTATCTACCACAAAAATTATAAGCGTTGCGTACAACGTCAGTTATATTATTTTACTCGCATTTAATTACTCTTAGTATGCGAATTACTCTCTTTGTAAAAATGTACAAGTGTTTTCTCTTTAGACATGTTTATATAAATAAATACTTGATATCATTACAACCCGAGTTATTATTTTCAAATTTATCATTGGTTATCATTCGAATCTTAAAATAATTGAAATTGAACCCTGGTTAAAAAAGTTACGTCCGTAAACAACAACAATATATTTGTTGAGTGATAATACATTTATTGTACAAGCTGAGACACATAAGTGAAGTGGAGTCTGCCACGGTTTGCCTGATCCATACTCTTCAAACAAGGAAAGACTACTAGATCTCCTTTATCTTATGTTCAATAGAACATTTTTTAAGAAAAATATTGTACCTGATGAGGGCCTTGTTATTAATATAACTGTACGGGTCAAAACGTTGAAAGTTATTAGTATTAATAAATACTTAAGTATTATTATTATATTTAGCATTACTACCTGAGTTATTATTTTCAAATTTATTATCGGCTATTACGCGAATCTTAAGATAATTGAAGGTTGTTCAAAGTTGTAAA